AGATTTTGTTTACCCAGTGACAATGTGGGGGCGTGGGGTATGTGAGCGTGCTCACTAAGGTTCTTGAATTGAGAAATTGAAATAAAAATTATACTGCATTATTAATGTTTAAGGGGGAAAATGTAGCTGACAAACATATGTTACATGCTTATAGAGGTGATTCAAGTATACATGTCATTTTCAGATGAAAAGTACATGTGTCATACATTGAACAGAGACTCAAACATTACTTTTTTTTTTTAATTAAGTCTCCCAAACGAAGTTTGGGAAGACTTATTGGTTTTGCTCAGTTCTTATTGTTATTATTATTCTTCTTCTTCTTCTTCTTCTTCTTCCTCTTCCGCCGCTTTTAAATTTGAACTTGTCCGCACCCGTTCTCCAAAACCACTTGTCAGATTAACTTAGGGTTTCACAATATGTTGGACTAACATGTCTAGTGGTGCAATCAGGGTTTTGTTTGTGCAATGGGGTTTATAAAGGGGTACTTTGAGGGGCAAAAAGAAAGGAGGGTTTTACTATAGAACCCTATGGGATTTTATTTTTAAAAATTTTCAAATGATTCTAAATTGAAAACCGTTTGTGATAGACACAATCTTTTTAATTGAAAATGTTCTAAATGATAAAGCACATTAAATGAAATACAGGGTTAGTCCCCAGGGGTCACCCCCACTCCCTGCCATTTAAGAAAGTTCTAATATCTTGTAAATGGTCGAGATCCCCACCCCTAAACCATATATATTCTGGTTTGTCATGCTAAGATGGTTTGAATGATATACAGGGTTAGTCCCCAGGGGTCATCCTGACCCCCTGCCATTTTTTTGAAAATTCCAATATCTTGTAAATGGTCGAGACCTCCACCCCTAAACCATATATATTCTGGTTTGTCATGATAAAGCACATCAAATGAAATACATGGTTAGTCCCCAGGGGTCACCCCCACCCCCTGCCATTTAAAAAAGTTCTAATATCTTATAAGTGGTCAAGATCCCCACCCCTAAACCATATATATTCTGGTTGTCATACCAAGATGGTTTGAAAGATATACAGGGTTAGTCCCCAGGGGTCATCCCGACCCCCTGCCATTTGAGAAAGTTCTAATATCTTGTAAAGTTTGGGAAGACTTATTGGTTTTGCTCAGTTATTATTATTATTATTCTTCTTCTTCTTCCTCTTCCGCCGCTTTTAAATTTGAACTTGTCCGCACCTGTTCTCCAAAACCACTTGTCAGATTAACTTAGGGTTTCGCAATATGTTGGACTAACATGTCTAGTGGTGCAATCAGGGTTTTGTTTGTGCAATGGGGTTTATAAAGGGGTACTTTGAGGGGCAAAAAGAAAGGAGGGTTTTACTATAGAACCCTATGGGATTTTATTTTTAAAAATTTTCAAATGATTCTAAATTGAAAACTGTTTGTGATAGACACAATCTTTTTAATTGAAAATGTTCTAAATGATAAAGCACATTAAATGAAATACAGGGTTAGTCCCCAGGGGTCACCCCCACTCCCTGCCATTTAAGAAAGTTCTAATATCTTGTAAATGGTCGAGATCCCCACCCCTAAACCATATATATTCTGGTTTGTCATGCTAAGATGGTTTGAATGATATACAGGGTTAGTCCCCAGGGGTCATCCTGACCCCCTGCCATTTTTTTGAAAATTCCAATATCTTGTAAATGGTCGAGATCTCCACCCCTAAACCATATATATTCTGGTTTGTCATGATAAAGCACATCAAATGAAATACATGGTTAGTCCCCAGGGGTCACCCCCACCCCCTGCCATTTAAAAAAGTTCTAATATCTTATAAGTTGTCAAGATCCCCACCCCTAAACCATATATTTTCTGGTTTGTCATACCAAGATGGTTTGAAAGATATACAGGGTTAGTCCCCAGGGGTCATCCCGACCCCCTGCCATTTGAGAAACTTCTTATATCTTGTAAATAGTCGAGATCCCCACCCCTAAACCATATATATTCTGGTTTGTCATGATAAAGCACATCAAATGAAATACAGGGTTAGTCCCCAGGGGTCACCCCTACCCCCTGCCATTTAAGAAAGTTCTAATATCTTGTAATGGTCAAGATCCCCACCCCTAAACCATATATATTCTGGTTTGCCATGCGAAGATGGTTTGAATGATATGCAGGGTTAGTCCCCAGGGGTCACCCCCACCCCCTGCCATTTAAGAAAGTTCTAATATCTTTGTAAGTGGTCAAGATCCCCACCCCTAAACCATATATATTCTGGTTTGTCATACCAAGATGGTTTGAATGATATACAGGGTTAGTCCCCAGGGGTCATCCTGACCCCCTGCCATTTGAAAAAGTTCTAATATCTTGTAAATGGTAGAGATCCCCACCCCTAAACCATATATATTCCTGTTCATCATGTCTCGAACATTTGAATGACGTATATGGTCAGTCCCCAGGGGTTCCCCCCACCCCCAATGTTCTAGTATCTTGTAAATGGTCGAGATCCCCACCCCTAAACCATATATATTCTGGTTTGTCATGCCAAGATGATTTGAATGATATACAGGGTTAGTCCCCAGGCATCACTAATGCATATATAACTTTACTGGACTTTGTCCAATGTCAGGCGACCCTGGGAATTACGAATTATGGGAGTTTCGTTTGGGAGACTTAGTAACAGCATCCTGTTACAATCATTTCTTGTTAAAAAATATGTTTTCTAACTACATGCAGGTACAATATGTTTGCAACATATGTTTGCAACAAATTTATTACTGAAAATATAAGCATTTCTCTGATTATGTGTAAACATAATTTATTTCTAACTAGTGAAAAGTTAAATCACAAAAATACTGAACTCTGAGGAAAATTCAAAACGGAAAGTCCCTAATCAAATGGCAAAATCAAAAGCACAAACACATCAAACGAATGGACAACAACTGTCATATTCCTGACTTGGTACAGGCATTTTCTTATGTAGCAAATGGTGGATTGAACCTGGTTTTATAGTGCTAAACTTCTCACTTGTATGACAGTGGCATCAAATTCCATTATATTGACAACGATGCGTGAATAAAACAAACAGACATAATAGGTAAAAATGTCAAAATAGGGGTACAGCAGTCAACGCTGTGTCACAATCTTAATCACAACAAAAACAAACAAATATTTAACAAAGAAGCACAAAAAAGCATATATCACATTTAACAACCTCGTTCATTGCTTACTTATTTTTGTATTTTATTTATGTATGCCAAATCAACCCATAAAGGATCGAGGGATTTTAAGCCCTGGGACCGAATCATAATTTTAATATTAACTCTGTCATAGAATAGCATGTTTGACGTCAGAATGTAAACGTCACACAGGTAGAGATATAAAATAATTTTGTCGTTCAAAGTATGCAAAAAATTATAATAGAAAATAACACAATGGCGGGATGTTTAAAGTACAGAGACACGTCATATGTACCAAAGAAACATAAAAAGTCACCATGGACAAAGCATACAAGTAAAAATGAAAAATAATACAAACAACACAATGAAGAATTGTTTAACATGTTTAAAAGGCCTAGCTTAAAACTATTTGTTCCAGCTGAACCCAAATGAGCCTAATTCTTAGTATCTCAGATATTTGTTGGTTGTTATTTTAACAATTAAGAAATTGATTCACCTGTAGAACTAGTTAGAAACTTTTGATAAAATAATAAAAAAATCTATTTGTTTTTATTTACAATTAAGAATCTTCATGTTCAGATGCCTATTATTAGATGTCTTTGCAAACCTTATTAACAACTTGTATCGACTTCGGTGAGATAGAGATTGAAATAAATATACTTTTCTCTACTGTTTCATATTTAAAGATTGCTTTGGTTCATCTCTCATAGTCATCATACCCCACATCCCATTTTATTTATAGTGAAGACATAGATATAATGGTTTGGTCAAACTGTTGTATAATGGTTTGAAAATTATGAAGAAAAAAAAAGAACTTATCAAACATTTTACATTTGCTAAGTTGTTGATTAAGGTCCTTGTCAACTCTTTATGAAAGTGAAATATACTGTGGAATTATTTATTTTTAGTGGGTACCAATTTTCATGTATTGAGGAAAGATTTTATTTTCATGGATACTTCAGATTTCGTTGTTTTGCCAAAGTTTATATACAAGCCAAATGAAAATGTGTACTTCGTTGAACACTTTAATTTGTGGTTTGCCTATACTCACGAAATCCACAAAAGTTGGTACCCAATGAATAATAATGAATCCACAGTAGTTAGGCAGGTACCCAATGAATGATAATTAATGAACCCACAGTAGTGAGGCAGGTACCCAATGAATAATAATGAATCCACAGTAGTTAGGCAGGTACCCAATGAATAATAATGAACCCCCAGTAGTTAGGCAGGTACCCAATGAATAATAATGAATCCACAGTAGTTAGGCAGGTACCCAATGAATAATAATGAATCCACAGTAGTTAGGCAGACCCCAAAGAATAATAATGAATCCACAGTAGTTAGGCAGGTACCCAATGAATAATAATGAATCCACAGTAGTTAGGCAGACCCCAAAGAATAATAATGAATCCACAGTAGTTAGGTAGGTACCCAATGAATAATTATGAATCCACAGTAGTTAGGCAGGTACCCAATGAATAATAATGAATCCACAGTAGTTAGGCAGGTACCCAATGAATTATAATGAATCCACAGTAGTTAGGCAGGTACTCAATGAATAATAATGAATCCACAGTAGTTAAGCAGGCACCCAATGAATAATAATGAATCCACAGTAGTTAGGCAGGTACCCAATGAATAATAATGAATCCACAGTAGTTAGGCATATTTCAGATATGATTGTGGCTATGTGATATTGAATATTAATCAGTTATTTTTAAGGTCAACACAGAATTTCGTTGTCATAAGCCTTGCATGGACACAGGATAAGATTTAAATCAGATTGAAAATATCATTAATAAGATATTTTTGGTCATCATATGTTTAATTATGTTTATATTTTTCAGATACAGTGATTATTACTTCCGTTGCATTTAATCCAAAGATAATCGAAGAATGTGGCAAACAAAACACGACTGAAAGAGATTTGTTAATAAATCTAGCATTCAAGTATGTTGAAACTCAGCATAATGTTCAGGTGTCTAGAAACTATCAGATACTGGGTGGAAATGTTGTGTTCAAAGGAAATATGGAGAAATTTATACAAGCGTTTAACAAAAAGACCGAAAAAAGTGACAAAGAATTTGACGAGAATATGTCAGAGCTCCAAAAAAACTTTGCTCCTCTCCCTTCGGATGCAAAAGATACAATATTAAATAAATTTGCTAATATTGCTGTTAGTGAGGACACAGGTAAATGTGATCCCGTTATAGCATCACAAAATGGCTTTGATTTTAAACTGCCCTCATCAGATGGTGGAAAGAAAAAGAAAGGTTTAATTGAAGAAATTTCAACATCAACTGTGAAAACTGCATGTCCAAAATATACATTAGAATGTGTTAAACGAAATAATATCATTGAAGAGATCAAGGTCAAAGTGACTTTAGATGGTGTTTCTAGTGTTAAAGAATGTTGTTTAGATATTTCCAAGGTAAATATTGAAAATTTATGAGAAACATAGAAAACACAAATTCAAAAGAATGTAAACAGTTATTAATTACGTCATATACACCACACCTTAACAATCATGTTTAATTTCTATAGATGTTATGTATGCCGCAGGTAGTTTAATTTCTTTATGTCATGTATGTTACATGTAGATTAATTTCTTTATGTCATGTATGTTACATGTAGATTAATTTCTGTATGTAATATAAAAATAAGAAGATGTGGTATGATTGTCAATGAGACAATCCACAAGAGACCAAATGACACAGAAATTATCAACTATAGGTCACTGCACAGCCTTCAACAATGAGCAAAGCCCATACCGCATAGTCAGCTTTAAAAGGCCCCGAAATGACAAATGTAAAAATATTCAAACAAGAAAACTAACGGCCTGATTTATGTACAAAATAATAAACGAAAAAAACAAATATGATATACAGCAACAAACGACAACCACTGCATTACAGGCTCCTGACTTGGGACAGGCACATACAGAATGTGGCAGGGTTAAACATGTTAGTGGGCACCCAACCCTTCCCCTAACCTGGGACAGTGGTGTGACAGTACAACATATGAACAAACTATAAAAATCAGTTGAAAAGGCTTAACTCATCAGATAGATACAAAGAAAAACAAGTAACAAAAACACAGAGTGGACTTGGCAGGGTATTTATACATCCCCACAACAAAAAAACACTAAGTACAGATCTGAGAGTACTCACAGTTACTGACAGCTAGTTCAAAGCCAATAACAACTAATAAAAAAAATCATGCATCCAAGACTAAAATATCAATCAGTACACATCCAACATCCAATAGATTTTGTATGTTACATGTAGATTAATTTCTGTATGTCTTGTAGAAAATGTTTGAAATTCAACCATTGTTGGCCTATTGTAGGATATTGCCAATGAGACCTTTTTTTATTCCTTATAATTATACATGTATCATAGATGTATAAACCCATATATGCTTATATTAAAGATCCCCATTAATTGTCAAACAATTTGTTCACTATTCAGTATAACAGTTTTATAACTTTATAACATTACATGAATATCCATAGTTTTATGCCACAATTTTCATAATTCTTCTATACACATTATGACCACATTGCTATGGAAATGGCATCAATAAGGGAGATAATTTCAAAAACTTCAAACCTCGTGATGATAATGTTGTTTATGTAATTGCTGTTCCAGGGTCTATTCTTGACACTTTTACAATGTATTATATAAGCTGGGAACAATTTACTGCAGTATATCCATCTTGTTTATTTTAACTTATGTTTTATTTTTTTAAATTTCAGGATGATATGAAATTGGAAGTTGATGACAGATACAGTTTACATATTAACTTTCCACATCATGTGGTAGATGATGAAGCATCAGCTAAATTTAGTAAAAAGACATCTGTTTTAACTATTACTGTACCAACAGTGAAATAAAATTGTAAAAAAAATGCACTTTCTGCTGTGAATTCATTTATTTTCAATTTTCCTTTATTGAAGAAAAATGGTATGATCATTGATACTTGGTTTCTTGTTTTTGTCAAAGTTTTCATACAAGCATTGACAGGCGTATATGAAATTTTTACTTTGTTGAACATTTAAAAATTATAGTTGGTCTATACCTATGAAATGATTCTCAAAAATTGCTATACACCAAATAATAATTCATCTGCTTTTGAATTCACATAAGACCACATGATCTATTTACATATATTGACATGCCTTGTCTTGTTTTTGATAAGGTCAGTTTAATGGGGAATAACTTTTTGTAAGTCAACGATATATGGTTTGCAGTTGTACAAGCATTAGCACATCTCATTTCCATGGAGATTATATGGTCTGACCACTTAAGTCATGGTTCATTGACTGGAACTTTTGCATTTTGTACATGTTTAAATTTGTGATAAGGATAGACTAAAAGAACCACCAAAAAATCATAATCATACCAAAAATAGACATAAAAAGAAATATAAACAGCAAGGGTTAATACATGGTCCAGAAAGCCTGTCTATCTACTGGAACAATAAAAAGAAATATAAACAGCAAGGGTTAATTAATACATGGTCCAGAAAGCCTGTCTATCTACTGGAACAAAAGGAGGTGGGGTTAAACAGATTTACTTGCACACAAACCTGCCCCTTTGCATGTAATATCTAGACGATACGTCATAATAGTGTTATACACAATAAAATCCTTCAATGTCCAGCTACCAACAAGATGACTATTGAATAGATCAACGAAATGTAAGATGACACCTTATTTGGAGAAGAAAGGTCAAAATGTACTTGCTACTACAGGCAGTTAGCCAAGGTAGCCACATTTGTTGGTTGAATACTACTGCTCAATAAATAAAAGAGGAATGTGTCTGAGGACACAAATGCCCCCGCTCAAGCTTAACAAGTTTATGTCTTCAGTTCTTCCTACCTTTTTCAGTGATAGGAAATGTTTTTTTGTTGGTTTTTTTTCAAAGTTATCCCCTTATAGTTGCATATAAAATATTTAAAAAGTTCTTGAAGATATAAGGTTTTTTTTGCAATGTATATTGGTGGTAAGGGTGTCAAGAATTTTAATTGTGCCATTTCCTCTATGTTTAGTTGTTTCTCAAATTTTATTTTGGTATTTTTGTTATGGAAAACAGCTGTTCATCCGCACATTTACAAAATTTTATAAAACATCTTGATGTATGAAAACTTATATTCCTAAAAGGCGCTAGGATGAAATTTAAAAAAAAAGGCAGGAAATGAGTTTTGAGTAAAAAAAAAGGCAGGATGAGACACTTTGCAAAAAAAAAAAAGGCAGGATGACAATTTATGTAAAAAAAGTCAGGATAAACTAATAAAAAAAGGCAGGACCGAATAGTGTGAAAAATAAAAAGGCAGGACAGAGATTACAACTAAAAAAAGGCAGGACAAAATTTTTCATCCTAGCCCCCCCCCCCCCATAATAATCAAATGGTAGCTCCCTTATTAATCATTACTGAATTTATGCTGAAAGTTTTGAAGATAAATAGTTTACTTCAAGTATCACATAAACTTCACATCAAGGATCAATGTAAATGAGGTCAAAGTTTTATGAACACTGCCTTGATCTTTATCTTGATAGGAATACAGTGATACATCCAAGGATATTAATACACCGCGCGTGCGTCAAGTAATTTACTTAAGTGGGCCCCTCCTGCCAGATATTCATGTTCACCTATGCTCATACCATTCACCACATACAGTTGGCCTATTGCTTATAGCTTTGGAGAAACAGACCAAACCACGAAAAATTAACCTTGATCACTATTCCATGAAAGAGGGTAGGAATGCCCATTACCGTCAGGCGTCAAGCGGTCATTTTCAGCTACCGTTAGCGTCAAGTTGGTTAAAATTTTACCATGATTCGTCAAAATATCCTTATCGTGATTCGTCAGAGGTCTCAAATAATTATCGTTACCGTTACTTTTGGAAAAAATTTAGCGTGATGCGTCAAAATCAGTGAATTTTTTTATCGTCTAAAAGAAAGTGTACATTTTATCGTCATGCACCAAAAATTACCTTTAACGTCATTTGGCAAGAATTTTTACAGTTTTTGTCATGAATGTACCCCCATTACAACCCTCATGAAATGAGGTCGGGTCAGGTAAACTATCTGATTGACATGTAGACCTTGCAAGGAACCCATATACCAAATACATATCTTCCGGTAGTTGGCCCGAGAACATACAGTTACTTCGTAGTGCATTTCTTTTAGACAACAAATTCAAATTAAAAAAATCGCACCTGCTCCATCTCAAAAAGATTTTTACAGTGTAGTGTACTACTATTGATACAAATAATATCAAAATTATAGAACTTCTACCAGCTCTAACTCAAAATATTGACAATTCTGTGTTAAGGGGGGCTAAAATTCAGTTTGACAGCTTCAGACATTCTAATTTTTGACCTTTTTTAACTGGACCAAATCACTACTTAACATAAAGATTCAGCACCCAAATTTTTTAACATGTAATTTCATCCCCTTACTTAATATTTCATGCATAAAATATCAAGAAATAAATTGGAAAAGTGTATTAAAAAAAAATGCAAGTTATACACTGTTCACGCTCAACGAAAACCTAAGGACGATAACTGTGTCCTTGGACCAGCTTATTCTTTTACTCATAACAAGTTACAATTTTGCATGACAATAAGAACTATACATTTTTTCAAGCAGACAATAAACCATGAAAATGAGGTCAAGGACAGTAGAAATATGACAGATAGAAACTACGTAACAAAAGGCATCTGCATACAAATGAGGTGTGCCAATGCTAATACAACTGCATACCAAATACCATTGACTTTTCATAAGTTGTTCCCTTTAAACAAAGCTAAACACAAACATTAACTTGTAAACTATGTAAAGTCGATGAACCATAATGAGGGGGTGGGGTTATATAATCTTCATGGAAATGAGATATGCCAATGTTTATACAACTGCATACCAAATATCATTGATCTACCACTAGTGGTTCCCCATAAACTGACCTTATCACAAACTAATACATGTAAACTAAGCAAAAGTTTCAAAGTCAATAGACCATGACTGAGGGTAAGGACCAAATGTTCTCCATGGAAATGAGATGTGCTAATGCTTATACAACTTCATACCAATTATCATTGACCTACCACTAACAGTTCCCCTTAAAATGACCTAATCACAAACTAATACATGAAAACTAAGCAAAAGTTTCAAAGTCAATAGACCATGACTGAGGGGGCGGGGCCAAATAATCTTCATGGAAATGAGATATGCCAATGTTTATACAACTGCATACCAAATATCATTGATCTACCACTAGTGGTTCCCCATAAACTGACCTTATCACAAACTAATGCATGAAAACTAAGCAAAAGTTTCAAAGTCAATAGACCATGACTGAGGGGGCGGGGCCAAATAATCTTCATGGAAATGAGATATGCCAATGTTTATACAAATGCATACCAAATATCATTGACCTACCACTAGTGGTTCCCCATAAACTGATCTAATCACAAACTAATACATGTAAACTAAGCAAAGTTTCAAAGTCAATAGAGCATGACTGAGGGGGCGGGGCCAAATAATCTTCATGGTAATGAGATGTGCCAATGCAAATACAACTGCATACCAAATACCATTGACCTACTACCAGTGGTTCACCATTAACATGACCTAATCACAAACTAATACATTGTTGATGCCGCCGCCGCCACCGGAAACAGCATACCTTTGTCTCGCTTTTTGACTCCGTCAAGGCGACGCAAAAATGTTTCCTCTCCGGTTGACATTCATAGCTAAAACCTCAATAATGAAGCCTTTAAACAAACTAGATATCATTGAGATGGGAGCCATCTCTGTGGGCCCTGCTGTGAATAATGTGTGGTAAAAAATTTGTATCTTTATCATTGGACATGGGGTTGTCAACTGAAACCAAAGTTTTTGACCTTGACCTTTTACCTAGGAAGTTGTACATAAATTATGACACACCCTCTGGTGTTAGTTTATATACTTGTCAAGTATAAACTTTGAAATCATAAGGGTTCTCTAAATATAGAGCGGACACAATTTGTTACAGACGGACAGACTGATCACTATAGGGGGTCCGCCATTCGGCGGGGCCCTAATTATCTGTTGAAGAGGTAGATTTTTATCATTCTTACCGGTACTTGTAGACTATTCTGTTAAACAAGTGCTAAGGGCCGTCTCTCAAACTTGCAGTGAGGAGAGAGTTTTGCTCTATATTGGCTTCACCGTGACTTTGAGATGAAGAACAGCAATAAAAGCACTGTTCCTTTGGTTTTTGCTGTGCATGTACTGATTTTGTGTCATGGATAGACACTCCATAACCCTTGATTTTTACTATTGTATAATGCAGTGTATGCAGAGTTGCAGACTCTCTAAATGCAAAATTTAATGAGCCCTGTTTGGGAATGTATTAACTGAGTTGTGCCTGATTGTGGACCTTAACTCCAAGATTCAGTTAACTGGAACTTAAATCACCGTCATACAAGAGGAGATTTGGCATTTTGTATTTAAAATTTAAGCTCAACACACAAATTCCTTCTAAAGTGTCTGTACCTGGTCAAGACTAGGACAGTCAATCCCATATTGTTCCAAGAAGATTAGTTAAGGAGATTTTCTCACAAACATATCGCCTGCTTTTCTTATGATTGAAATAATATAGAAAGTCAGTAATATGAAGATTTAAAGTATAACATAAACTAACATTATCAATGATCCATATAAATGAGATCCAAGGTCAGATGATCCCTGCCAGACAGACATGTGAACCTTCCTCTCACCAAATATTGTGCCACTATTGCTTTTACCATCGGAGAACTAGACCAAAATACAATAAAATGCTCCGCAGGGCTCAGCTTGATACGACCGCAGAGGTCGAACCCTGAACAGTTGGGGCAAGTATGGACACAACATTCAAGCTTGATACAGCTTTGCATTTGGATTGTGATTAAATATTTGACACAGCATAGGTTTCTGACACAGAATGAATGTGGTCTAAGAACTTAAAAATTTTAAATTGGACATTCACCTATTATGGTCCAATATCCAAAATCTAAATACATGGTTAGATTCAGCATATCATAGAACCCCAAGAATTCAATTTTTGATGAAATCAAACAAAGTTTAATTTTGGACCCTTTTGACCTCAATGTGGACAAAGTTGATAATGGGGCCCAAAAATCAAAAATCTAAATACATTGTTAGATTCAGCATATCTAAGAACCCCATATATTCAATTTTTGTTGAAATCAAACAAAGTTTAATTTTGGACCCCGATTTGGACCAACTTGAAAACTGGGCCCATAATAAAAAATCTAAATACATGTTTAGATTCAGCATATCAAAGAACCCTAAGAATTCAATTTTTGTTAAAATCAAACTAAGTTTAATTTTGGACCCTTTGGACCTTAATGTAGACCAATTTGAAAATGGAACCAAAAATTAAGAATCTAAATACACGGTTAGATTCGGCATATCAAAGAACCCCAATAATTCAATTTTTGATGAAATCAAACAAAGTTTAATTTTGGACCCTTTGGACCTCAATGTGGACCAATTTAAAAACGGGGCCCAAAATCCAAAAACTAAATACACGGTTAGATTCAGCATATTAAAGAACCCCAAGAATTCAAGAATAAAACCCCATTGAAATTGGTCAAGAAATAAGCAATTTATACGAAGTATCTTCTTTTGCACAATACTGTGCAATTAAATATTTCTTGCTATTGCGCAATACTGTACAATTGACAATTTCTTGCTATTGCGCAATACTGTACAATTGACAATTTCTTGCTATTGCGCAATATTGTGCTATTGGATATTTCTTGCTATTGCGCAATACTGTGCAATTGAAGATTTCTTGCTATTGCGCAATACTGTGCAATTGAAGATTTCTTGCTATTGTGCAATACTGTGCAATTGAAAATTTCTTGCTATTGCACAATACTTATTATATAATAATTTACACATCCTGTTTGGTGTGTATCTCCTACCATATCATTATTATTTGCTTTTAAATATAAATCAGAAATAACCAACTTAAAATGGAAAATTTTAAAAGAAAAAAAAAGGAAAAAAAGAAAAAAAAAAAAAAATCCCCCCCCTCCAAAATTTTGTAAACCCCCTTATGATTCATCACCCCCAAACTCAATCCCAGCCTTCCCTTTGTGGTATGGTACCTTTCAGTACAATTTCAGAGAGATCCATACACTTGAACACAAGTTATTGTCTGGAAACTAGAAAAATGTGTTTTTTGGCCCCAAATTCCTAAACATTTAGGGCAATTACCCCAAAACTCAAACCCAGCTTTTTCCTTTATGATATGGAGCCTTGTAGTACAATTTCAGAAAGATCCATACACTTACACACAAGTTATTGTCCTGAAACTAGAAAAATGCTTGTTTTTTGCCCCTTTTTGGCCCCTAATTCCTAAAATATTGAGGCAATTACCCCCATCATCAATCCCAGCCTTCCCTTTGTGGTATGGTACCTTGCAGTACAATTTCAGAGAGATCCATACACTTCAACACAAGTTATTGTCTGGAAACTAGAAAAATGCTTATTTTTGGCCCCTTTTTGGCCCTCAATTCCTAAACATTTCGGCATTTACCCCCAAAACTCAATTCCAGCTTTCCCTTTGTGATATGGAACCTTGTAGTACAATTTCAAAAAGATCCATACACTTACACACAAGTTAATGTCATGAAACTAGAAAAATGCTTGTTGTTTGCCCCTTTTTTGGCCCCTAATTCCTAAAATTTTGAGGCAATAACCCCCAAAATCAATCCCAGCATTCCTTTTGTGATATGGAACCTTGTGGTACAATGTCAGAGAGATCCATACTCTAACACACAAGTTATGTCTGGAAGTTACAAAAATGCTTATTTTTGGCCCCTTTTTGGCCCTTCATTCCTTTACTGTTGGTACCATAACCCCCAAAATCAATCCCAATCTTCCTTTTGTGGTATTGACAGTTGGACATGTACACATTATATTCATTCTATACACCAAATATAGTTCACGGATTGTTGTTGGTATCTTAGATATGGACTTGACCACAAAAGCTTAACTTTGATCACTGATCCATGAAATGAGGTTGAGGTCAGATGAACCTTGTCTGACAGATATGTACATCATGAAAGGATGGCATATACCAAATATAGTTATCCTATTACTGGTGATTCATTATTATTCATGAGATACCAATTTTTGGTTGATTTGGTGGGTAAAAGTGAACAACAAAATTAAATATTCAACAAAGTACACATTTTCATTAGGCTTGTATGTAGAATTTCCAAAACAACAAAATTCAAAATCCAAGAAAATATAATTTTCTCTCAATCCACAAAAATTGGTACACACTAAAATAAATGAATCAAAGTTGCAGACTCTCTAAATGCAAAATCTAATGAGCCCTGTTTGGGAATGTATTAACTGAGTTGTGCCTGATTGTGGACCTTAACTCCAAGATTCAGTTAACTGGAACTTAAATCACCGTCATACAAGAGGAGATTTGGCATTTTTTAAGTCAGTAATATGAAGGTTTAAAGTATCACATAAACTAACATTATCAATGATCCATGTAAATTTTCAAATGGGCTCAACTCACAAATTCACAAAAATTGACAAGTACTCGTAATAAGTGAGTATTTCACATAACAAAAACAATTTTTTTTTCAAGCAGTCTCTGAAACATGAAAATGAGGTCAAGGAAAATGGACATTTGACAGATGGAAACTTTGTAACATAAGACATCTGCATACAAGATAACCATGATAACTAGCATCCTCCCTTTTGAAATATAAAGCTTTATACATATATAGTTTACGTCAAGGATCTGGAAATTTTTCCAGACAATTTCGGTCATTTTGAGATGTTTGAAAAGTTGTTGCCCCTTTTCAAATTGTCGATATCAACTTGACTATATTCATAGCATCAACGAACATAATGAACTTGTATTGCTGTTTCATCGCATTTACTAAGTAAATGTCTTACCATTACCATGAAGGACAGTTTAGTGAAGGCAACAGTCTAAAATTGAAATGATTTTAATGACTCAAAATGGTTAATTTCTCAGACATTGCTTTCGTTTCTTTCGATTTGACAAAAGTTAAAACCGGAAGTTTGCGATATTTTAAAGTACGAATAATTCCGGATTCATTTCAGGGATTTGTTTTGTTTATCAAATTGACAGGAAGTCACCGGCTTTTTATTTTATTACCTTTAAAAGTGTTTAAATATAACAATTAATAGTTGCACTCGTTTAATTTAGCATGAAATCAATTTGCATTTTACGATTAAATATTAAATCTGCTGAAGACAATTTCACGCATGCGTATTACATAGTAAATAAAGCACATGTGTTACTCATGAAAAAATACTTTTTTCTACGTAAATTTAGATTTAATTTTTAAATCAGAATTGATGACTGTCTTTGATGAAAAGTAAATAAATAATGAATACACTTCTCAGGGAACTTTAATGTTTTAAAGATATTATTCTGAGTTTTGTGATCACTCTCAGGTGTGAATTAAACCCACAGGTAAAAAGTGATTAGCGATCATTAGCCAATGTTTCCCGGAGGCATTGATATAGATATTAGGAGGGCCCTCAGGATTATCAAACTACTGTAGTGGCAGTTTTATTACAGGAAAGGGATTATAAATAAAAACAAGTGATCACAAGTGCAAAATGGCGATTAAGAAATCCGATTTCAAACATTGAGTCAATGAAATGACCGAAATTACTTCTGTAAAAAAATAAAATTTGTCCTAAATCCCAATTACCTTTTTAGGACAAATAGTTTCATCTTAGGACATGACTGGCAAATATGACCGTTCCGGACCCTTGGTTTACGTCCTTGCCACCAAAAGTAATCACTTTTTCTCTCATTCTGTGACTTTCCTCTCAGGCAAGACAAAAATCGAACAGTTTATTATTCATTATTTCCAAATCTTGAAGGCGGCTTCATTTTAGTCGTCTTTATTTCCACAAGCAGAATAATTGCTTAATATCTCATATAATTTACTAGAGTGAACTATAAAAGTTGTTGATTGCTTGGGAAACAAAATGTCACATTTATTTCTCTGAATCACTTAACACTTTGGGTGGATGCGATTTTGATTCAGTTTTGTCTTGGAGGATTGTTGTCTCATTGGCAATCATATCACATCTTCTTATTTTATAAGAAGTGCATCAAAACTGACTATGATTGCCAGTTTTTCTTCCTTAGGTTGGTGGGTCTCTCTGCCATGATATAGCCATGAGCGATTAAACATCAACCATCAATCAACTAACTGACTTTTAATAAATGTTCATCATGCTTGCATGACCTCTCCTTCAACATGTTCAAAGGCTCAATTCATTAATTCAAACTCATTTTTTTTTTACAGAAAAAAATTCTTATTAAACTAATTCAAATATTTGTGTATTGTGTTACATCAAAATTTAATAAATAATGTCCATTTAAACATATCTGTCAAAATATGGAACATTTGGATCTTCTTCATTCTTTTCTAATTCAGATTCGTCTGTTGCAAGACACTGTTCTACCAACATTCTTGTTATATCACCACGTTCTTCAGTAAACACTTGTAATTCCTCAGCTGAAAAGAAAAATTTCAAAGCATTAAATAAATTAAACGAAAAAATAAAAGTTATGTAGAAAAACATAAATCTGTAACTTGACAAAATAAAATGCTTCGCTGAGCGCAGCCTGATACGACTGCAGAGGTCGAACCCTGAACAGTTGGGGCAATACTGTGCAATTGAAGATTTCTTCTTGAAACTTTTCAAAAAATTTAGAAAAAAAAATATGAATCCTTTAAAAAAATTGTAAACAAAAAATCCCCCCCAACTTATTGAAACCCCCCTTGGAGTAATAACCCCAAAACTCAATCCCAGCCTTTCCTTTGTAGTATGGAATCTTGTAGTATAATTTCAGAGAGATCCATACACATGATACACTGAAACACAAGTTATTGTCTCGAAACTAGAAAAATGCTTCTTTTTGGCCCCTAATTCCTACATGTTTGGGACAATTAACCCCAAACTCAATCCCAGCCTTCCTTTTGTTATATGGAACCTTGTGGTACAATGTCTGAGAGATCCAAACACTTACACACAAGTTATTGTCCGGAAACTAGAAAAATGTTTGTTTTTGGCCCTTAATTCCTAAACTGTATGCCCCATAACCCTTAAAATAAATCCCAACCTTCTACTTGTGGTATTAAACATTGTGGTACAATTTCAGAGCAATTGAAATACTTATACACAAGTTATCGTCCTGAAAATAGATAAATGCTTGTTTTGGGCCCCTTTTGGGCCCCTAATTCCTGAACGGTTGGGACCATCATTCCTAAAATCAATTCCAACCTTTCTTAAGTGGTATTGAACCTTCTATAACAATTTCATAGAGATCCATTCACTTAAACTAAAGTTATTGTCCGGAAACAAATGTGTCTTCGGACGACGATGCAGACGACGACATCATAATTCATACCATTATACGATCCCAAAATTTTTTTTGCGGTCGTATAAAAATGTATTGAAGGAGATATCTTATTGATCCTAATTCAAAACTGAAAAGCAATCCCATTTAACTCACATTGGCAACTGGGTGACAACAAATCTTATTCCATATTTATCTTCATTTACTTTTTTGCTAGACAATTAAGCTTATCCTATTAAGACCATACAATATAATTTCACAGTAACACTTAATTAAAAACACTTGTATATAAGGCAATTGTATTTGATGAGGCAGAGAGGCTTTTTTCATGGTACATAATTGTATGTCAAATTATCCCACCAGATACTGCCTGGCATGTGACCAACAAAGATGCCAACAGGGTCCCATGTTTTTTTCAATATTCTTTCTTTGTCTAAACAAACAACTTTGTTTAAATACATTCGTTCATGAAAGTATTTCACTGACTAAGATCCTGATTTGTAATACTGGAATGGTACACATGGTAACAAGAAATTTCTGAATTTTTCTTTTTTTCAAAAAAAAATTAAAAATGCTCACCATTGCAGAAATTGGGCAGTGTCTAAGCATGCAGCTTATATTCTTTTTTGCATATATATAATCCTAACAAAGCATGAGAATTATACACATCCTGTAGCTTAAAAACAGGTTCTGTTACATATTTCAATTATTGAAAATACAATGATATATACTACATTTTTGCAATACATATGGAATTCTAATATTGTTTGTATTCGGGTCTCATTTAACTTATACACCACTGTTTTAATGTTATATCACTATCCCAGTAACGGGAATAGCATATGGCAATCTATTTTTTTAACCTTTAACCTTAAACAGACACATATTTTTCTTTTGGCCTAATCAGATTTCCCTATACTCTATAAATAATATTACCTTCAAACTTAAACTCAGGGAATTTGGAAAATTCTGCTTCTTTTCCTTCAGCAACTCCAAACTGAGTAGCGACTTTCTTCATTTCTTTATCTAAATTTGCCTGTACATGTGGATCAACATCTGGCATCTTACCACCTGCTGATCTGTTATAATTAATTATACATTATACAGGGTGTGAAATATTTAGCACGCAATAAATTTGTATCATATCACAATATAAAAGTAATATACTGGGATATTTATTTTTTAAATTTATTTTTTCTGTATTTTCAAAGACATTTTTCTCCCTTAATCAGAGACATATACCATACATGCCATTGCCTTAGTACAGGGTATTTGCAAATTTATCAACTTTAGTACTTTAGTAAAAGTTAAGAAATGTTTATTCTTAAAATCTTTGTATAATACTAAAAATCACCACAAAATTGGTAGCCTGAAAATGATACCTAAGAAAGATGGGTATAAGTGTCAACACATATTTGTTCTGCCTAACAGAAGTTCCCCTTGAATTTTTTTTTTATATAAACAATGCCATAATATCTATTCCTGTTGGAACAAATAGTCTATATATCCTTTATTCTGTAAGGAACAAATGCTGTAGTATTTGTTCCAGTGGAAATAATATTACAGAATATTTCTTCTCCCTTTGAAGGATCTTCTATTTCATGTATCAGAATCATTACATAGTTGATGAAATGTAATTGTGATTCATGAAGTACAGCCATCAATAAAGAGTGTAAGACAGCATGATTTAGGCCATGGAAAAATAAATGTTGGTTTCCCCTAACATGTGGAAATTATTAAGGCCCGGGAGGCAGGAAAATCTTTTTAATTTGTTTTATTTTTTGGTGAAAAATCTACAGTCTACAGAGAATAATATTGCTGTTAACCTGACAGTAAACTCTTATTTTACATTCTATATTGTGGTATAAGCTATATGAAACTAAAGGAATGTTAATTGAGCAATGTTGACACACTTTTAAGAGGTTATAAGACAATTAAAAAAAAAATATCTTAAAAAAAAAAAATGACCCAGGGGTAAAAACAGACCCGGCAGGGTTAGGGGAAACAAACAATCATTTTTGCATGGCCTAATAACAGTTCGGGAATAAACCCCCTAACCTGTGTAATATCAGCAGGGTTAAAAAGAACTTTAAACTTGTTTAAAGTAGCTGCAAGCAATCTTTGTTATAGTTTACTATTGTTTTGCTGATACTTATTTCTATTTTGAATGTATTAAAATGTTTAAAAGTGTTCTTCCCCTACTGATTTTTATTGAACACAAAGTACATTCTTCTATCATGTCTATGTACATTTGCCTTTTGTTATTCCACTCATCCAGATTTAAAGGGTTGTGATGAAAAATGTCTAATCCTACCCAATGTTAATTTAAATGTCCAAAGTCAGTAATCTTGTCAGTGATTGTCTTTTGTTATATCTAATAGTTTTGTCAATAAGGGAACTTAGTATTGATGGCAGATCATGGGCAGTCTCGAGCTCTGTTAAATTTGCAGTAATAAAGCAACCACTCCAGTATAGTAATATAATTCTGAGGGTCCCTCTAATTACCATATTCATGATATTAGTGTCTCTGGGAGATATTAGCTAAGCTTAGAACTAATACTTTAAAGAAAGTCTATTCCATGACAATTTATCCCATTATTTCATAACTTTTCAGCAAAGACAATCGCCAATTCTGATTTAAAAATTAAACTTTTAATAAATTACGTAGAAAAAAGTAATTTTTCATGAGGATTGAAACCTGTGCTTTATTGACTTTCATGACTTTGTAATCATGTAATACGCATGTGTGACATATTGTATAGACATTTGTCTATTGTTGAAGACCCTACACGTATGTTGACTTCTAGATGTCATTAGCTTTTTTTGTGTCCTTGAATAACTTTCTCACTGATATATGACTGAGAATATGGGCAAATATTTATGCACCATTCACATCAGTGTAGTCTCAAAAGTTAAAACAAATTTGAAAAATGTTGACATATTTTGCAACTTACTTGGTCTTCTTATCAAATTCCCTAATTTTCTGAATAAATAGCTGCTGTATAAGATCATTTGGATCACCACTAGATGTCTGTTTTTGAGCTAAAACTGAACATGATGAAATACTTCTTCTAACATGTGGCCCAACACAGCACACTGTTGATCTAAAAACACGAGCAGCCAGCATCTTGTTCTACAAAATAAAATCAGACTTCAATAATGCATCTTGAATATTCAGAAAGTACATTTACTTACACGTGACATAAATGTCTCTCTGGTTATTGTTTTATACTTGATGGGCGTATTTTCAAAGTTTTTGGTGTCAGCATGTACATGTACCAGTATGTACATGTATATCAATTTTTTCCTCCCTTCAGGCTTTCAAAATGAATGAAGGGAAACTTCAGCTACATGTATAATAGTGCATGATATGGGGTATCCATCCATGACACAAAATCAGTACATGCACAGCAAAAAACTAAAGAACAGTGCTTTTATTGCTGTTCTTCACCTCAAAGTCATAATGAGGCCTTCAACACTGAGCAAAAACTCTCACCTCACTGCAATTTAAAGATGGCTCCTAGCACCACCGGTTTAAGCTGAATTCTTTGCAAACTGACAATCATGCCACAACTGTGAATTCGGACACAGGTAAAACTTAATGCCCCCACCGCTATGGCGGGGGCATAATAAATATGGCAAAGAAAACAAACATTTACTGTTATTATTTAGGCCGACAATCACACTGAAGCGTGCAAAAACAATACAACCACAGGACACATTGAGATATCTGTAAGACAACTTGGCAAGAAATAACTTACATGTACATTTATAGGGCAAATAATTTCAGGAAGACTTTGTAAGATGTAACACCAAACAACTCGGGACTAAAGTACTGATATACATGTAAGAGTATTTTATTATTTCTGATGTTAATATTTTTATCTTCCTTTTAAAATTTGCACTTCACATACACCATGTGCATGATGTATACTACATGTATTATGGGCGTGTTTCCAATGTAAATACCTTGACTACCCACAAGACCAAAATGATAATTGATAACTAACTTAAAATAACCATAATCTTGGACGATACTTTTGTTGTGAAATAATAGGCTTAAACTTAGGCACCAACATCCTCCCCTAATCATCTTGTGGTCGGGCAATGACAATTCTATGAACTGGTGTTTATTGTTTACCAGGGATACAATCCTTGAGGAGGGGGCAAATGATTTAGAATTTCCAACAGGTACCCAGATCAGCTAATTGGGCGCCTATATTTATAGAAATAAAGTAGTCCTAAAATTACAACTAACGGTATATATATATATAAATTATGTGACAACAATTTATCAACTATGGTAAATAACGCACTTAAGACTCCAACTAGAAGGGTTGAGAATGCATAGTTTTGACATATAACTGTGTTTTTGAACGCTGAAATAAACATATGGATTGGGTTTTTGATTGTTTTATTGCCTTATCACGCAAATGCACAGCTTTTGTGGAGCTCTGTCATGTCTGTAGCAGAGTACGAAATAAGTTTCGCAAAAACTCAAAAAATTTAACATACCCAAATTTCCAGAACGTTCCATTTATATTATTCAGAAATTCAGGTCCATTAAATTTTACCCTGTTTGGTGCAAAAGTTTATTTAAGGTAAGGATTTGTATATGCAAAAATATCTAGCCGGCTGTGAGAAGACGAAATAATTACGATTGACATACTTGGGGAGGCCTGCTACAAATAATTCCCACAACAAAGGTAGGCGTGTTATACACCATTGTGTAGAAAAATCAATTTAGATTTACGGCATAACAAGTTTTAGTGGGGTAGACAACCGAGAAATCGAAATATAACAGAGGTTCGCGACCGGGTGACATTTTTCAAAAAATTTAGTTAAGTACCTTGTGTTATATTAAGGTACATGTTTATAGGATTTTTTTTCAGAGACAAGTGCCTGTGTTGGACTACCACAGATTGAGAAATAATTTCTTACAAGGGGTCTAGAATCTAGTTACATCAGTGTTCCAGCTTGATCGTTTTCACAGGGCGGTCCGCTCACCCTTTCCCCGACTTACACCCTGTGCCCTTTTTAAAACGCCCTGCCCTTTTTCGCAAGTACATGCCTTTATTGTCGTATTATTTTGATGAAAATAATGTAATTCTTTCTGTCTTCATGTTTCTAACAAGTTTATGACCTTCAGCTAATTAACATTTACAGCAGGTGTTAAAAGTTGTGATTACCATGAATACAGGTAATCCACTTATCGCCATCGGATGGATTACTAATCCGTTAATTAATAAACCTCATAATTGACCATTATAATTATTTTTCCCAGTAAAATCAGTCAGTCGGCATTTCAATTTCAATACTTTTCAAACGACCACAATTTGCAGTTCGTTTATCCATAGATGTTTTCGTGGTTTCATCAATTTAACAAAATTCAAATTGTTTTCCCCGGGACAGTTCAAATTTTAATTTCAAAATTTCTCAAACTTTCTGTTTAAAAATCAAAAGTAAACGTAATCTATTCTTGATAAATATAAAATATACAGTCATTATAATCGTTCCAAGTTTATGAAAATAAATTCCAAATATGATTTAAACGTTTTTACAGGGATAATGATTATGCAGTGAAATAGTTGTTACAATTTTATTTATGCTGTGATTCCTGGTTTTTAAACAGAGGAACCCAACTTTTGTTGATCAGGAATGTCCCCCGAATAATAATTGAAGTGAAATTGTGAACTTGATTACCGGATCCTTGTTCTTATCTTCATATCTAAGCATCACATCAGTCAAATCATGTAATAACTGCCTACATTTGTAGCATGCCTAATGCCTTCAAAGATCCTGATCCTTGAATGACTTAGGCATATGTATAGCTAGTAATATATACGTCCTTGGTCCCTTGCTGTTGCCCAAAATAAGGTTGATTTTCATCTCGCGCAAAAGTAACTAAAGCCCTCAAAATCCTATGCTGTTTACATAATAAAAGACAATGTTTGACATGCCCTTTTTGAATTATCAATCAGCATGCTAAACTGCCCTTTTGAAATCTTAGCTTGAACACTGAACATACATGTACATGTGACAAAACTCATCAAGCCAATGTGTTGACCACAATGAAATCAGTTATACATTGAAGCCTTTGTTTGTTAAGGCCACCTTTCAATATCTTCAGAGGAATAATTTTGCGTGTTTGTGGTTGGTCATGTTGGTATGGTCTGTTGTGCTGACCAAATTTTATTATGGCAATGACAATGTTTTTTGATAATTCCATTTTATGTACTATTTTTTAACAGTTGAGTGCATTGCAGTTAGGCTATTATTGCCCTTTTCATATATAAGAGGTGCTAAAATATAGGCTTAGTAATTATATAAACATCCAGCAACCTTAAACAAATGTTAAAACTGTCTTACTCGCCGCTGACCTTCAGTTACACTGATTCTTGAACCTCGTAACGCATTGCGGGAACCAGTCTCATTCCTAAAAATAACGAAACGAATTTCACTCCAAGCGGACCTCTTTGAGACTACTGTGGCTATATATCACTGTTTATATCGTACCGCGAATACACGAAATCATGTGTGTTGTTACTGGGAATAGTATACTAACGTCAATATATTATGTCCAAGTTGTTACAGTTAAACTTATATTTTATATATTGCGCTTTACTGCATTGACACTCCGGATCATTTCAAGTTATATATATGTGAGAATATATATTATAGCGAGACAAAAAAGTTTAATTTATTACATTTTTAGGCTTTAAGATACTTTCAATGACCTGTTTATCATGATATGAATGACTTTCTCATATTATGTCATTTTCTTTTCACAACAATGAACAAAAGGCACGTGCGTGTCGAAATCCGGTTGTAATCATTGTTGATACATGACTGTGGTGATGACCACTCTGCATTCAACAGAGGACGATTAATGACGGAACTTTTACTAGTATAAATAATGTCATTTAAAAGCCTTCTTTTTAAGTAATCCAAGTTAAAACGTGTGTTTGAAATGAGATGAAAATGAATAGAATGTCTATGCTGTTTATTATTTTTTTATGTAAAAAGTATTAAAACAATTATAACGATCGCGTTTCAGCTGCTCGCCCCCCCCCCCCCCCCCTCGTTACTTCCTATATTTTTAGTGGTACGAGTGTGCCGCAAAACAGGGTCGCTTTTTCATGCCCTCCTGGTTAGAACAGGGTCAATTTTTCATCATGGCGTTCAGTGTATGTTTACTTGTTTTTGTTTAGATGTCTTTTTGATCGAGTTAAGCCATTTCAATTGATATTTTATAGTGTGTCTTTTTATGTTGTAATGTTACACTAATGTCTCAGGTTAGGGTGAAGGTTGGCGCCTGTTTATAACGTTTAAACCCGCTGCATTTTTATGCACCTGTCCTAAGTCAGGAGCCTGTTGTTCAGTGGTTGTCGTTTTTGGTGTGGTTCGTAGGTGTTTCTCGTTTCTCGTTTTTTATATAGATTAGACCGTTGGTTTTCCTGCCGTGTCCTGCTGGTTAGAACAGGGTCGCTTTTTCATGCCCTGATGGTGAGAACAGGGTCTTTTTTTAAACAAAGTATTTGTCTAGAACATGATTTTAACTGTTTAAGATACAGTCTAGAACCCGAGTCTAGAACAGCATCTATTTTATACGGTCTAGAACAGGATCATTCCCGGTGCATATTTTAACAACTGTCATCTTTAACAGTCTAACAATATGCCAATTAAACTATCGTATTTCTGAGTGTGTCTAGATTAGGGTATACATTTTATGAGCGTGTCTAGAACAGGGTATGTTTTTCAATATTTCTGTTTAGAACAGGGTATGTTTTTCAATGTTTTTTGGTTAGAACAGGGTATGATTTGGCAAGTGCTGTCGGCACAGTTATACCCGAAAGGATAGTCAGTACCCCCTCCCGGGCTCGTCCCTGATTTAACAGACTTGTGACTGTCGAGAATAAAATCAAGGTTGCATTTACCCATTACCAGTGAATATCAAATGCATATTACTATCAAAATTAATCGACTAAAAACATATCTAACGTCACAGTACCCAAATTGCACCTATTCAACAAAAATAGCTGCGGAAATCTTACAAGTTTTCTTTGAGACTAAACAATTTGTATTTTATAATTTGACATTATACACGTCTTTCAACATAGGTAAATATATTTAAATATACACTAAACGTTCACAGTATATATCAACAGATGAATCATTCCCTGGAAAAAGTATATCCACGGAAACGTCGCTATGCGACGTTCTCAAAATGTCATCTTTTAAAAATGAGTAAATTAAACATGTTACAAGCATCCATTTCTTAAAAAATGAATAGTAAGCATGGAATAATGTCAAATTGTTCAAAAATATTCGAAGAAATAAAACAAAACATCTGTTATTCGATTTTTAAAGATGTGAATTTAAACATGGGTGCAATTTGGGTACTCCTCATTACAGAATCATGGATCGTTTGGAGGTCGGTTCAAATCCATTTTTCTATGAATTAATATGGATTCAAAATTAAATTGGTGTAACTATATAGTAAATAAGGATACGTCTACAAAATAAACACAGAATGGAAACTTTTGTCTGGATCATAAAAAAACGTAGGTGAAAAAACTGTAAAAATAGGTGCAATTTGGGTACCCTCACGTTACATATTAAGGAATTTTATTAAATGTAACAAAATTTGAAAATCTGTTAAAAATATGAAAAGTATTTTTACATAAATACATTAATCGTGAACATGTAATTTCTTCATACTAAAATAAAATGATAAAATAAATTCATTTACTGACCTGATTAATTAACCAAACTGAACGGATTTTTTCCAGAGCGGCTGGAAAGTAAAGTAAAGTTCATCTCGTCCTACGTCTCGTATTTTAAATCCTTCCGATATATATCCGACATTGAACAAAAGTGTAAACCGATAGATTTTGAATAGCTTTGTTGAAAATCATTCTGTATCGCTCACAGGCGGTATGGATCCCCATTTTTCTTTTCCTTTTTATTTGTGTTAAATATTTTTTTGAAATTATTTTTAATATTTCAACACAATATGATAATAACTACCTGGTATCATTAAAACGGAAACTTTTCCCTTTTCCCTGCACACAGAGCATGGGGCCTCCTTTTCATTCCAACTGGATGGTAAACCGGATGGTTTAGAGTAGGAATTTATCTCATACTCGTCACCATATAGTCCATCATTATCATAGGAGTATGCTTCACCATTTTCAGGATCACTGGGTAAACAGAGGTAGTCGATCGAACCTCCTCCTTTGTTAGTGTAACTGTTACCTCCAGCCTGTCCTGCATTAACGAAAGTAACCTAATTTATAAATCAGTTTAGCCAAAATGTTCATGTATGTGCAATGATGAAAAAAATCAAAGCGACTCCGCATGCTTTGATTTTTAAGAAATACCATAATCAAAACAGAAAATTGCTAATTTGAATCATCTTTTGGAAATTAACCAAATATGACCTATTCAATAGATATAAGAAGATGTGGTATGAGTGCCAATGAGACATCTCGCCATCCAAGTCAAAATTTATAAAAGTAAACCATTATAGGTCAAAGTACGATCCTCAACACGGAGCCTTGGCTCACACCGAACAGCAAGCTATAAAGGGCCCCCAAAAATACTAGTGTAAAACCATTCAAACGGGAAAACCAACGGTATAATCTATATAAAAACGAGAAACACTTATGAACCACATCAACAAACGAAAACTACTGAACATCAGATTCCTGACTTAGCACAGGTGCAAACAGTTGCAGCGGGTTTAAACGTTTTAATGGTACCAAACCTTCACCCTTATCTGAAACAATAGTGTAACATCACAACATAGAAAGACACACTATCAAATATCAATTGAAATGGCTTTACTCGATCAAAAAGACATCTAACCAAAAACAAGTAAACATACACTGAACGCCATGATGAAAAATTGACCCTGTTCTAACCAGCAGGGCATGAAAAAGCGATCCTGTTTTGCGGCACACTCGTACCACTAAAAAATATAGGAAGTAACCGGGGGGGGGGGGGGGGGGGGGGGGGACGAGCAACTGAAACGCGATCGTTATAACTGTTTTAATACTTTTTACATAAAAAAATAATAAACAGCATAGACATTCTATTCATTTTCATCTCATTTCAAACACACGTTTTAACTTGGATTACTTAAAAAGAAGGCTTTTAAATGACATTATTTATACTAGTAAAAGTTCCGTCATTAATCGTCCCCTGTTGAATGCAGAGTGGTCATCACCACAGTCATGTATCAACAATGATTACAACCGGATTTCGACACGCACGTGCCTTTTGTTCGTTGTTGTGAAAAGAAAATGACATAATATGAGAAAGTCATTCATATCATGATAAACAGGTCATTGAAAGTATCTTAAAGCCTAAAAATGTAATAAATTAAACTTTTTTGTCTCGCTATAATATATATTCTCACATATATATAACTTGAAATGATCCGGAGTGTCAATGCAGTAAAGCGCAATATATAAAATATAAGTTTAACTGTAACAACTTGGACATAATATATTGACGATAGTATACTATTCCCAGTAACAACACACATGACTTAACTCAACCCAAAGACATATGAACACCAGTGAACATACACTGAAAGGTCTTGAATTGCTGATCATTTTTGCTCTTTACAGTTTCTACCGATCTAATACAGTTTGAAAGATACTAGGAAAAAGCTTGAAAACTAACCAAAAGTCATCATCTAAGGGGAAATATCTCATATAGTCATCTGATGGTTTCGGTAGTATTGGTATTTTGGTTTAGATCGTGTATTGCAAATCATTTTTGCTGTCTACCTATCTTTTTATAGTTTTTGAGAAAAAAGACAAAAACTCGTAAAGTAGCCAAAAATCGTCATTTAAGCACAATTCTTCCTACAAGGAGGCATCATATATGGGTTCGGACATATTGGGATTTTTTGATCTAGTATTGCTGAACATTTTTCCATTAATAGTTTCTACCTATCTATTATAGTTTTCAAGATAATAGGAAAAAACTTGAAAATTATACAAAAACGTCATTAAGGGCAACAACTCCTATAATGAGTAATCTGATAATTTTGGTGCATACAGCTATATAATAGCAGGTAGATATTGACATTCTGAGCATTTGTGTCATTCGTCAGATTTTCTCTGTCTATCATAGCACGGTTTTCGAGATATACGACAATTAATGCATTTCACCCTTAAATTCTATTTTAGCCATGACGGCAATGTTTGTTGACTGACTCCGTAAATAATAAACTAGAGATGGCTGCTACGTTTTCATTACCTCTAAAAAGCAAATCATAATAGGAAAAGAAAGTTCTGGAATATCGTTTTATCTTGGAGATATAAACTCTATATATGCAGATACTACGGGAACGTTGACACATAAACATAAAATGGAAAGTTCACGATGCATGGACAATTTATATAACCCTT